CACTCATGTTTCATTACTACTTTACATGAATCACTCGCTGTAGCGTTCCTCATTCGTAAGTCACTTTGGATTAAAGGATCTGCATACAGGTCCTGTAAGCAATATAACAATTATCTTTGTGTTGAGAAAATTGTCAAAAATACCAATAAAATGCAATGTAAAAAGGTGCCTGTTAAAACAGTTTAACGGAGGCCGGCTAGTAAGAGTTGTTTTCGTAAACCTCACTCCCCTGGCCTCAAGAGGCGCACTAGAGACTGTGGCTGTGGTCTTTAGCGTCCTTGTTATAGCATCTGACTCCCATGCCAGAAATGCTGGTTTGAATCCCGCTCGGAGTGGTGCAAGTAGAAATGGAGAGGTTAAGTTAGCCGCTTTTCCCCTTTCAGGCCAATGTGAGCCTGTGCTAACGTGCCGGGCGGGGCCACTAGCCTCGGACCTCAAGCCCCGAAGTCAAAATCAATTTGCGTTTCCACTGTCGGCCCCGTAGCCCCGCAGCGCTACCCTAAAACCCTCCCTTAATACGCCTTCAGAGAACAACGTCACAAATCCCACATCACCAGCATGGTGAAGCTAGCTGACTGAAAACTAGCTAGATTGTAGAATTAACATGACGTTTGGTCTTTACTTAAAGACTTACGCATCGATATTTGACCAATAAATTACCCTATCATTTTTTCACAGTGACAGTAATTTATTATTGTGTGTCAGGACTGCACATCAACAGGGAAGAGATGGATGAAACATGAAACCAAATAAATACATGATTATAATCATATATGATTTGTTGAAGTTCTTCAAGCAGTCTTTGGTATTTTCCATAACCATGTGTATTTATTATGGCAATGTATAGCATAAGAAGCCTTTAGAATCGCATGTAAATAAAAAATAGATTAGAATCCCCATCGTATCACACAAAGAAGTTATTTCAGAAACTCTCTGGTGTCTGAAAGTGAGTTTTGAGCTTTAAGCATAGTTTTAAATGTCTTAAATGTTGGAGTTAGCTGGTAGTCTGATATGAAGCATGGGAAGCAATGTTGTATATGCCTTGGTAATTTTGCTTTATTTATTTTTTTAAACGTATATTTAGTTTTATTTGATATGTATTTCAGTTTTAGTAATTTTAGTACTTCAAAAACCTATTTTGTTTCAGTTAGTTTTCCCACCAAATATTTATATAGGAATACATTTCATCTTTAATGAACATGATTTCTAATAGTTTTAGTAAACAATAACAACATTGCTTGACAGTCTTGGTCACCATTATCTTTGATCGTATGTGGCGGCGCTCGGTTCCACAGAACAAAGAACGTGATATAGTTTTGGAATAACATGACGGCAAGCAAGGAGTAAACCATGAAGTCATTGTAATATTTTAACCAGGGTTGAAAAGTTTCCAGACTTTTTGGAAATTTTCAGAACTTTTTAGCAGCAGTGTTGTCCCTCTCCTGACTCCGCCTTTGTTTCTGAACACTCCTCAAGCCCCAGTTGACCCGCTTTGGACCAAGGTATTAGGCGGGCCAATAACCCACTGGCCGTTAGCCCAGAGGAAACCCTGAGGAGGCCCGATCAAGCCCTGGAAGTGACAGTGGAAACGCGACTGGCCCTGGCACACACTAGCATGATCGCTTTTGGGCCGACAGTGGAAACGCGGCTATTGGTGCCGTGACCCGGATGGGAGTGAGGTTTAGTGGGGTGAGTGTAACAGAGGCCAGCTAGGAGGAGCTGTGCATGTAAACCTCACTTCCCTGACCTCATGAGGCGCACTAGTGACTGACACTAGAGGCAGTGGTCTTTAGCATCTTGTTAGCGCACCCGCCTCCCATGCTGGAAATTCTGGTTCGAATTCTGCATGGAGCAATGCGAGTAGAACCGGGGAGGTTACATTGGTGCCGTGACCCGAATCGGAGTGAGGTTTAGAAGGGTGAGTGTAACAGAGGCCAGCCTCAAGAGGCGCCCACCTCCCATGCCGGAAACGCTGGTTTTGGAGCGATGCGAGTAGAACCGGAGGGATTACAATTTCACAATATAATATTAAGAACGTTAAGAAGTAAAGAGCTTTATTAAAAACATACCAAAACACACTAGAGGTACCTGGAATGAAGGCCTGGGAAGTCCTTCAGTACCGAGCCAAATGCTCAGCTTTTTATTGACAGATAAGCTTAGATAATTCTCACCAATTTCACTTTCACTGAAGTAAAATGCTGATCTTCTGGCTTTGACGTGCTGTATCAGTACAGAAGAACAGAGGCAGAATATTAAATGTCAACTCTTTTTTCTGTCAGTACTCAATGACTGATGATGTAAAATATCATAAAGAAGACCAGCATACAGGCAGCAGTAAAATACACACCTTTAGCTTGTGAGCGAAACCAAAAGCCAGACTGTGTTTGTGTGGAGGGAAAGTTTACTTTAAAGTGGTGGGCTGGATTGGATGTCAAATACAGGGCTGGGAAAAGGATATTAAGTCCCTGAAACACTTACCGAATTCACAGTCAACTGGATTCTGGGACTTTTCTGTTGTTAATACAGCAATCTGAGAGGCTGATATTTATTTGAAAATGACTGAATATTTCCACCTGTGCTGCAGTAAATCTTTCTGTACTTTCATTACCTCAAGGTCAAATGTCTCAAATGTATAGGACTTTGAACTATCTTTTATGTCCTTGTAGATTAATCAGAAACCAAATTATCCATACATAATGTAGTAATGGGTTTCTTAGCTGTGGCCTTACTCCCATACATTACATTAATTTCTAGCAGAAAGCAGTACATTTGAATATATTTTCAAAAAGTTGGAAATTCTTTAATAAGGTTTGTAATAATGACGGAATGTTCATATTTGGTAAACTATCCTGTTGTACGAAAAATATTGTTGGTCTTTTTATGTAAACTCTTAATGGTTTGAATGAATGAATGATTCAATGACTCACTCATTTACACTTCACTTGTTTCATTACTGAATGAATCAGATTTCTTGAAAGAATCTCTTGACTGAATGATTCAATGACAAATAAATTTAGCAGGCGCTTGTCACCAACTACTAGTGTAAGAATGTACTCAATACAATATTTATTAGAAGCGTCAAGTTACTTTCAAAAGGTGATTTATCCTTTTTTTCCGAACTGTAAACTTTTATCCCAGTACTTCTGTGATAATCTGAATAATTGGAACACAGAAATAATGAAACCGTTAAAAAGACTCTTTGTGAAGCTGTTTCATACTTAATAACTGCTCTCTCTGGGTCAGCGGCAGCGCAAACAGATTTGAATCGCTGTGATCATACTTGTCAAAGGTTTAATATACAGTTCAATCATTGTCCCTTCACAGGGGGTTTGATTGACATGCGATCTGACCAATCATCATCCGCCGAATCCGCCATTTTGTCCGACAGTTAATCATGCAGATCTAGCCTACTATTTTGCTTTTTGCTTATTTCAGTTTTAGTAATTTTAGTACTTCAACTTGGCAGGAAAACATTAAAAAATTTAATATATTCTTTATCAATTTTTTTTTTTTGATTTCAAAATCATATGTAACGCATATCTTACGCTAAGAATGTGGCACATCCATTTTAACGTAGCCTAGATTTGAATAAGAATTTCCCTTTTCTCGCTTTGGTCATTGACCCTCCTATAGCCTAAATGCAAGAAAAGAAACATCTGAAATTGTCCTAACCATTTGATGCCCTTTATAGACTAGACGGACAATATTGTCCATCCCTGTCTACAACACGGATCATTTCAAAACGAGAGACACTTGCACCTGATGGTAAAGGTGTAAAGGTGAAGGATCATGCCTAGGGCACATTCTAGCCCTCGTGAAATCCAAAGCTGAAGGTTGGAGAACACAGACTTCAAAGGGCAGGTGCAGAAACTTCATCTCCTCATAGTAGGGTTTCCTCATGCGGTTAAGAAAAACAGGCTCAAACACAATGTTTCCAAAGGAAGTAATGGTCATGACGGTTCACACTCACTTTAGCACTGATGCAAGTCGAATCTTTCAGTACATGTGACTGTGTTAGGATGTTTATGGTCATTGAGTTTGTCTCACAGTTGGTCTGCAAGCAAACCCCTAAATAAAGCCAAAAATTCAAGACGAGGAACATTTCTGTGGCACTACAGGCTGCCAAACACTGTGGGAAATACTGACAGGCTTGGATCACATTTCCATAAACAAATACTCAACTTCCTGAACGTGTAAAATCAAGGAAAAAGAAGCAAGGATGAATGCAACTCAGCCTTCAACACAGAGAACACACCCCCCAATACATATTTAAATATGAAAATCTTCTAAAGATAGGCCCCTCAACATGGCCATTGTCAACTAAAGCACCTGTTTTTGTTTCCGCAATAAGATATTATAAATGAAATATCTACAAAAGTCAAAAACACTTCCAGATCAGTTGTAAATATATATTGCATTATATTGGAGTTAAGTGCAAAGCCAAGCTAAGTCAATTTTGCAAGGTTGTATGTAAACTTGTGAGAAAAACAAACCTGATTAAAAAAAAAAAAAAAACTGACACACAACAAATGCATATTTTAATTTTAAATGTCTAATAATAATCAATGTTCAGTAATCATTTTAAGTGATCTAATAACATTAGTATAAATGTATAAATAAATAAAAATAAAATAATAAATAAATCGGTCAATCAGATTAGTCTCTCTTGCACATACACAGGTTAAACATAAACCTGTTTTTACATACTTGCATATTTTACGTATTGTTGTCACAAAGCACTAACTGAAAACAAGCTTTTTGGTTCCTTATAAAATACATATTTTTTCCTCAAATCATTTTGTTGATTAAAAAACGTACGTCAGTGTATGTTATTTGTCAACAACCCAGTTACATAGCCTAAGATATATTGTTTAAAAAGACAAATCCCAATAAAGAAATGAATAACGTTGTGAAAGCCCTCAAACAACAACTTGTAGCCCAAGTTTTGTTAATGAACTTCAGAATATAACACTTAACGTTGAAACATTGAACTCGCTTACCTACAACTACACACAGCACGTCAACCAGGACGAAGAGTCGCTTTTTCCTCAAGTCCGTCATTGTTTCTTTAGCTCGGATGCACGTTAAAACTAGCACTTTAAAAGTCACTTCATTTATGAGAAAGTGTCAAAGATAATCCACTTGGAAGAAGAAAAACAAACTGAACGCGACCAGTATTGCGAGTTCTTCCGGCTCTGCTGTTCTACCTGGGTTGCTCGTGCTTCACTTCAGCTCATAGGTGACGGTGAAACACTCGCGTCCTTTACGACTTTATATATCAAGAACCTCAAAGGCTGAAGGCAGCGCCGCGTAGGTGCACATATTGCTTTTGTTAAAGAAAAGACTTGTGTCCAGCCCTCGAGCAGATTTTAGAGGACGCATCCACTCCTTTTCCAAAAATAAAGCCACTGTGTTCCCACTCGCGCTTGCTCTCGCTCACCGTGTCACTGTCCACACCTTGAGCTGACAGTGGGAGGCGCATGCGCAGTCGCGCTGCCTGAATAAATCTCTGCACTTTGAGCTGAAGCGCAAAGCAGCATGACACACACATAGGCTATTTTTATTGCACATCATTCCATAATATTAAATTGGTAAATTAATTATACTACATGTATGTCACATTCATCATTACATCTGTTGCTGGACATGTTGTGATTTACAAGTAGGCCTAGGCCCATATCTGAGAATAGATAGATAGATAGATAGATAGATAGATAGATAGATAGATAGATAGATAGATAGATAGATAGATAGATAGATAGATAGATAGATAGATAGATATTTTAGTTTACTGTCTGAACACACCTCTGCCAATATGATATATGACACAAAATAATGTATTTTTAAAGGGAACACCTAACATATTTTTAGCACGTTAACATCGCCACACCCCAAAGGCTATACCTAACAATTGTTGGCTACTAGAACGTTATGGAAATACATTATTTGGTTCACCTAGGGTGTAGTAAACATTTTACTAGTTTAATTCCCGAATGCTTCATGGTGACGTTCAAATGCTTTCATAATGTAGCCTAGATATAGTTTAAACAACTATAGCTGATGAAATACTACTGAGTGGTTTATTGTACTGAGATGTGACGTCACTCACATCCGGATATAATGGCAGATTAATATTCTAATTAGTCATACAAAGTTTTTAAAGGTCAAGTCTAGAAGGTGTAAACCGAAGCTTGAGCCTTAGTTCAGTCTTCTTTATCCGCTTGCTTGACATTTCATTTGTATGTTAGCCTAATCTGCCCTCTAGTGGACACTGACAGACCATACAGTAAAACTACAGCAGCAGTTCGAGAATTATGTTGACAATACTAAATAGCTTTATTAATCAGTCGTATATACAAGACAGTCAGCCAGACAGACAGAGTATAGACATAGTTTGTTTTCTACTTTTTTATTATTATTTACAAAATATAATAACATGGACAATAAATCAATATAACAGGAGCAGTAATACATAAATTGCTTTAAAAAAGTAAAATAAGTCAAGGCAGTGCCTCCCTTTCGTATCTTCTAAACCTTGTGTAAATTACAGACAAAACAGAAAGCCAATTAGAAAACATGTTGAAGCTGAGCATATAAGGGGATGCGGATGATAATACATGATGCTTTTTAATCCTAAATAACAGAAGTCCAGTCACAAATGAGGTACTACACTAGATTTGACGGTGCCAGTTTGTCTGGGAAGTGAAGGATTCTGGGTAGTATGGTTGGCTGACAGGTTGTGGCTTCACGCAAAGACAACTGGCTGCAAAACCTGAGAAACTTAATAGAGTGAATCCGCCACTTACATCAGGATTTGTTGGCGAAGCATTTGGAGCGTATATTCATAACCCATTTAAAAACCCTCTTCAACACTTAGTACTGAAGTACCGACGGACCAGACCGAGAGGGAAACGATCGAAGCCCCTGAGGAACTTGTGTTTTTTTATTATTATTGCACAAAGAGAACCTACAACGGGAAAGCCAACAAATGAACGGACGAAGCAACTGCATTAGTAGTTCATTTTTGATGATATCTTCTTTACAAGTAAAACATTTTATGCTTTTGCAAAAAGAAATAGATTTAAAAAGTAAAGTTCTGAGAGCTTATAAGAACTACATGCAATGAAAGAAAACATTTACTGCGCAAGCGCTTACAAAATGAGACCATCAAATATTTCAAAGGGACTGTAAATTCTCACATATTTCCAAAGAGGCTTACAATTAGGTAGTTAAAAAACACTTTCATTGCATGTAGTAGTCTGACAGAGACAACCAGCTCCCTAAAACACCTGGTTACTAGTTTAGTAGTTGAAGACAGCATGGTTTAAATGAGGAATTCTTGAACACACTTCCTTGATTAAATGGATCATTCAGGCAAAAATGAAAATTCTGTCAAAGTTTATTCACCCTCATGTCGATTCCAGACTTGTATGACTTACTTTCTCTGGCAGAACACAATATAAACATAAAATAAAAAAGTGTGGAAAAGGGGATCTGAACATTAGATAAAAGTAGTGCACTTTTAGTAGCTATTGGATTACTTTTATGCTACCTGTTTTTGTTTTATTGGAGCTTATAGGTTTTGGACCCCATTTACTTTCACTGCATGGACAAAACCTCTGTTCAAACAGATTTGGAATGACATGAGGGTGAGTGACGATGACAGAATTTTCATTTTTGGTTGAATTATCACTTTATGTCAGGCTTTTCTGGAGTAGCCTGAAGAGCAACTGCAAATTCCAGGTGAATGACAGTCGTCACATTTGCTTAGATCTGGAATGTTTCCCTTCGCTGAACGGGTGAGTTGCTGTGTTGGATGGGTGCGGAGCAGATGGAGGAGGGCGGGCACAAGAGGCTACCGAGTACCCCAAAATCTGGGACGGGTGGGACAGGCGAGGAAGGCAAAGAAGAGTCAATTTGAAGCCTCCGTGAGGCAACGTACTCTGAGCAGGTAGGTATAGGATCTTCAGGAAAAGACCCCAGTTGTAGCTGGTAAAGACCTGCTCCCAGGAGTCCTGAGTCTAGCTGGGATGAAGGGATGGAGTGGCTAAGGGGGAGCGAGGAGAAGTAAAGCTGGGTGGACGGGGAGGCTATGTCTGGCGTCTGGAGCGCTTGTGGGAGAGGCGAAGATTGTCTGAACAACTGCTCCACCTGTGGGCTAGAACAAGTACCTGCACATAGTTCCAGCTCCCCAATGTTTCGCTCAGAACCTGGAAAAATAAGACAAGATTAAGGAAAAAGTGGTCGAGCATTTGTGGGAAAACAGAAAAGAAAAAAACGAGTAGATGTAAGATGAGTTTCTGTTTTACAATTTAAAACGCATGCACAAAGACAATGTTTCCAAAGGAGTTCCACTCTGTTTATTCTTGTAGTGATTGGATCATTCCTGTTATGCAGTACCACATTTAATAAATATGCTTTGGTCACGTTCAGACACTTAACTTAATTATAGCTTCATCATTTTCACAATGGTATGAAAGTATAACAGGGTGGAAATAAAGAAATGAACAGGATGGAACTGAATAGGGCGTAAGTTAGGGACTTGACAGTTTATAACAATCTTTTGAAATTCTGATATCATACCAGTGTTGTTATTGTTAACTATTAAAGCCGTTTCCATTAATTGAAAATAATAAAAAATTAAAACAAACCCCCCCCCCCCCCCCATTTTGATTGAAAAATCTTGCAATACTTTCTTCAGGAATATTCCGTGTTTATGTTAGTACAGCAGCCGAGAACATGGCAAACATAACTAATATGATTACCATTTAAAAAAGATGATTTCCCTTTTTTTATATAATAAAAAAGTGAGTTTAATATTTTATTTACTATAAGACATATATGATGGACATGAAAATGTACTACATAACAGGAATGATCCATTTCCCGGGACTTCTCCACTTCAGTTTTTACCTGTGTATCTGTCAGTTTTAGGCTGTCTGTGAGCAGCAAGCTCAGGGCTTTAATAGGAAGCGCGGTGTGCGTTTCCGTCGTGGACGACCCTGAAACTGAGCTGCGCAATTCAGGCTCTCCTCTGGATTGTACGACCAAATGAAAAGTGACAGAACATAAAAGAACACAAACACAATAGGAAAAATGCTGGCAGATGGAAAACAACAATGAAACAAATCATAGACCAAAACCAAGAAAAATGCATTTATGCTGGACATAAACAAATGAACATAAATGAAGAAGCTTGTAAAAAATGAACAAACTTGGCCGCAATGGAAGATTCCATGAAAACATATGCATGTGGAAAAGTAAGTATTTTATCCAAGAACTAGTAAGCGTACCTTGTTTATCCAGCTCCATGACTGCAGGTGGCGATGGAGGCTGGAGTTGAATGGAAGACCTACTTGGCAAACCTTGATTGGCACCTTCCACATCGCCAGTATCTCCATCCGGCTCAGCATCCTCGCTAAGAGACACGTAAACCATTTAAATATCATCAGATCATTATTCTAAAAATGTGAAAACTTCAAACAAAACACACTCACGTGTTCCCAGATGGTAGATTGCACCTTTTCCGACCCAGCTTGGTGGCTTGCTGTGTGAAATACTCATGCCGCTCTGATTTCTTCCATATGTAGTAGTACTCTACACACTCACCCACCGAGCGCGTGCGGACCTGGGTGAGGGTAAATAAGAGGAGCCGACACATGAAGACACTATTATTTCTCTAAAAGTAGAAACATCCGCAGCAATTCCTACTGGGAAACAATGTATGTTATGAGACTAATTTGGTACTCACCTTGTTGCCCTGTATGAGGTGGAAGTTCTTCCCATAGGCACGGTAGCCATGCTCAAAGTTACGACACTCCTCCTCACTCCAGGCACAAAGCTCTTCTGGGAACATTTTTTTTTATATATTTGAGATTAACCAGCTATACATATCAGGATGCATTGATTGTCAGTTCCTGCTAAAGAAGGTTTGAGAAAGAAAGGCATAAAAAAGACAAAACAGAAGTCTTACCATTGAAAACCTTGACATTAAAGCGATATCTTCTTAGTGCCTCTTCTGGATTAAAGTTGCATTTTACTAGTTCATAAAGAGCCTACAAAAGAAATGTAATGAAAGAATAAGTGCAACCACTGAAAGATCAAAACATGACCCACTAAAGACAATAAAAACGTACAGCGAGGTACAAAAGAATGAGACCACTAGTGAAAATGCATCCATGTAATTTCAGAATGTCTTTTTATGTGGCATGTTGCCGTTTTCCTTTAATGACAGTAGCACCAGAGTTGTATGAACTCTATAAAACCTGATGATCATATTTTCCAACATGTTTTGTAAAAGGGTAAAAAAAAAAAAGGGGGGGCGGGGGGGGGGGGAGGTGGCGGAAGAAGCTTATATAATTAGAAATAATGCAGAATAATCTTACAAATTACTTTTATTATTTATTTATTTTGAATGTCACTACATAGTTTAAGAAAGTACTGGGTAAGAAAACTTTTTTTTGACACTGAAACTTTTAACTATGGGGTCCCACTGGGCTCTATTCTTGGACCATTATAATTTCATTATATACAGGTCCTTCTCAAAAAATTAGCATATTGTGATAAAGTTAATTATTTTCCATAATGTAATGATAAAAATGTAACTTTCATATATTTTAGATTAATTGCACACCAACTGAAATATTTCAGGTCTTTTATTGTTTTAATACTGATGATTTTGGCATACAGCTCATGAAAACCCAAAATTCCTGTCTCAAAAAATTAGCATATTTCATCCGACCAATAAAAGAAGTGTTTTTAATACAAACAAAAAAAGTCAACCTTCAAATAATTATGTTCAGTTATGCACTCAATACTTGGTCGGGAATCCTTTTGCAGAAATGACTGCTTCAATGCGGCGTGGCATGGAGGCAATCAGCCTGTGGCACTGCTGAGGTGTTATGGAGGCCCAGGATGCTTCGATAGCGGCCTTAAGCTCATCCAGAGTGTTGGGTCTTGCGTCTCTCAACTTTCTGTTCACAATATCCCACAGATTCTCTATGGGGTTCAGGTCAGGAGAGTTGGCAGGCCAATTGAGCACAGTAATACCATGGTCAGTAAACCATTTACCAGTGGTTTTGGCACTGTGAGCAGGTGCCAGGTCGTGCTGAAAAATGAAATCTTCATCTCCATAAAGCTTTTCAGCAGATGGAAGCATGAAGTGCTCCAAAATCTCCTGAGAGCTAGCTGCATTGACCCTGCCCTTGATAAAACACAGTGCACCAACACCAGCAGCTGACATGGCACCCCAGACCATCACTGACTGTGGGTACTTGACACTGGACTTCAGGCATTTTGGCATTTCCTTCTCCCCAGTCTTCCTCCAGACTCTGGCACCTTGATTTCCGAATGACATCCAAAACTGAGCAACAGTCCAGTGCTGCTTCTCTGTAGCCCAGGTCAGGCGCTTCTGCCGCTGTTTCTGGTTCAATAGTGGCTTGACCTGGGGAATGCGGCACCTGTAGCCCATTTCCTGCACACGCCTGTGCATGGTGGCTCTGGATGTTTCTACTCCAGACTCAGTCCACTGCTTCCGCAGGTCCCCCAAGGTCTGGAATCGGTCCTTCTCCACAATCTTCCTCAGGGTCCGGTCACCTCTTCTCGTTGTGCAGCGTTTTTTGCCACACTTTTTCCTTCCCACAGACTTCCCACTGAGGTGCCTTGATACAGCACTCTGGGAACAGCCTATTTGTTCAGAAATTTCTTTCTGTCTTACCCTCTTGCTTGAGGGTGTCAATGATGGCCTTCTGGACAGCAGTCAGGTCGGCAGTCTCACCCATGATTGCGGTTTTGAGTAATGAAACAGGCTGGGAGTTTTTAAAAGCCTCAGGAATCTTTTGCAGTCGTTTAGAGTTAATTAGTTGATTCAGATGATTAGGTTAATAGCTCGTTTAGAGACCCTTTTCATGATATGGTAATTTTTTGAGACAGGAATTTTGGGTTTTCATGAGCTGTATGCCAAAATCATCAGTATTAAAACAAAAGACCTGAAATATTTCAGTTGGTGTTCAATGAATCTAAAATATATGAAAGTTTAATTTTTATCATTACATTATGGAAAATAATGAACTTTATCACAATATGCTAATTTTTTTTTGAAGGACCTGTATATGTATGTATACACTGTAAATATATATATTTGGACAATGAAACTGAAACACCTGGTTTAAGACCACAATCATTTATTAGTATGGTGTAGGCCCTCCTTTTGGAGTCAATATAGCAACAGCATCTGTTCGTCCTGGGAATGACAGGTAGAAGTCCTTCACAGTGGCCATAGGGATTTTGAGCCACTCCTCTTCCAGAACAGTGGCCAGGTCACTATGTGATGCTGGTGGAAGAAAACGTTTCCTGACTCGCTCCTCTATTATCGCTCAATAATATTTAGATCTGGTGACTGTACAGGTCATGGGAGATGTTCAACTTCACTTTCATGTTCATCAAACCATACTGTCACAAGTCTTGCTGTGTCTTGCTTGCTGTCACAATTATCATGCTGATACATGGCACCTCCTTCAGGGTACAATGTTTGAACCATTAGGTGCACATGGTCCTCAAGAGTGGTTTGGTAGCACTTGGCAGTGACACGCCGATTGAGCACAGTAGGGGGATGCCATGATATTGAAGCCCAATCACTGATCCACCCCATGCTTCACTCTGGGCAACAACAGTCCGGGTGTTAAGCCTCTTTGGGGCTTCTCCTCACCGTAACTCCCACGCCGCAAGAGGGAAAGACAGTGAAGGGGGACTCAGAGAACAATAAATGTTTCACATTGTCCACAGTCCACAGATTTGCACTGTTGGAACCAATGAAACTGACATTTGGCATTGGCACGAGTGCCCAAAGCTTTGGCTATAGCAGCCCGACCATGAATATTGACACTGTGGAGCTCCCTATGAACAGTTTTGGTGGAAACAGGAGAGTCGAGATGCGAATTTATTTCTGCATTGAGTTGGGCAGCTGTGGTTTTATGTTTTTTGGATACAATCAAGGTTAGTACCCGGACATCCCTTTTAGACAGCTTCCTCTTGTGTCTACAGTTACTTCTGTTGGATGTGGTTCATCCGATATGGTGGTTTGCCGACATTATCCTGGATAACATAGTTCTCGATACACCACAAAGACTTGCTATTCTGGTCAGAGATGAGCCAGCGAGACGTGCACCAACAATTTGTCCTCTTTTGAACTCTGATATGTCCATTATGTTGTGTGGATTGCAATGTTTCATGTGCAACTGTGCTATTGCTCTGCTAATTCAACCTGATGGAATGTAAAATCAGTAAAGACTGGTCACCAGGCCACGCATTTATGTGTGTGTGTGTGTGTGTGTGTGTGTGTGTGTGTGTGTGTGTGTGTGTGATTTAATTACAAGATGTAACTTGTCAAACACATCATATATTATTATTTGTCATAAAAATAATTAAGCAAAATTCAATAAATCAATCTAGCAAGCAGTGTTGTTATTGTTATCTAAAGCTTAAAATATTGAAAACTATTTTTATAAAATATAAACTAAATTAAATGGAAAATAACTGAAATATACTGTATGTTGAAGTACAAACATTACTAAATCTGAAATTACTAACATTACTGAAACACATTAAGAAATACCGTCACAATATTAAAATTCAAAATAATAATAAATGCTATAATAGTATATAAATAATACTAAAATAACACTGCTAGCATGCTTCACCCTCCAATTCAGCCACTTCCAAATTGCATGAAAAATGAAGAGTTATATCTGAGTGATTCAACCCAACCTGCTCATTGTCTTTGACTATATCTCCTGTGGTCAGACTGTTTGAAGGTCCATTGTCACTCCCTTTTCTCTGGACTTCAAGCAAAAACTTCTCTACCGCCAGACTGGACAACACATCTGGAGTCCACAACAACTGGTCTTCATTTTCATAGGCTGGGGATAACAGTAACAAAACAGGTGTGGGTCCAAGAGGACTAGACAGGTCGGTTATGCAAAATAGACCACTGAAACCACAACCCTGGAGCCAGTGTAAAGGACACCAGCCAAGAGAATACACTCACCTCTTTCATAAAAAGTGTGTGTACAGAGAGAAGGAATTATAGCCTGATACTGGGGGCCCACCATGATGTCCTGATAACCAAAACATGGCATAAAGGCATTACTACAATGTTTTTTCCACTAAGCTGAAAATTTTAAATCGTTATAACATATTATAAATTATATTTTATAGATACAACTGTTCAAACATTTGTGGTCAGTAAGATTTTTTAATGTTTTTGATAGAAGGCTCTTATTCTCACCATTGGTGCATTTATTTGATCAAAAATACATTAAAAATAGTAATATTGTGAAATATTAATACAAAATTAAATAATTAATATAAAATAACAGTTTTCTATTTTAAAATATTTTAAAATGTAAATTACTCATGTGATGCAAAGCTGACATAATCCTTTAGAAATCATTCTAATATGCTTATTTGGTACTTTACAAAAGTACTTCACTTTGATCAAATTATTATCAAAGAGTATTCATTTCTTTAAAAAAAAAAACCCATAATGTTCATGTTTTCCAACGTGAAATTTGTAAGTATTGTGTCAGAAAACTTTATTCATTTGGCACAGAATGGCCTACTGATACTTTTAACTATGGTGTCCCACTAGGCTCTATTCTTGGACCATTAAAATTTCATTAAATATAATTGTTAACCAAAGCTAAAACTATAAAAATAATTTTTGGTCACTGAAATAAAGCTAAATTTAAATTAAATATAAACATAGTAAACTATAACATGAATCCTTTTTTACCTTTCGGCCATCACTGGAGGGGATAGAGGTGCTTTCTGAGTCGTCTTCGGAGCAGCTGACTGAAGTGTCTTTGTCATCACCTGGCAGGATTAAGAACAGGTTCAGAGTAAGCTCAAACATTTTTGACAAAAGAAAAACATGATTAAGTTTCAAATGTATGTGCAGTGTAGAAAAATCAGATTGAACAAAATAAAAATAAGGCAGCTAGAATGACATTGCTTACAAGAATATTCACTTAGGAGTTGACACTAGTACAGTAAAATAAGAGGCATTGTAATGTAATGTGCTACCTCTTAGGTGGTGTAAGAGGTCAGATGCATGGGACGTGATGGAGAGTGTGAAGTCATCAGCAGAGGAATGGTTGTCCACATCCTCTCCTCCTGAGAGCAGATCTTTATCTGTCTGAACCTACAAAATTAAAGACTTTATAGCAATTATAAGCAATAATTTGTTACTTTCCAATTTTCCAAATGAATCCACTAAGATTCCAAGAATCTACTAAGGAGGACAAGCCGAAAATAAGAACATTATACACAGAGTAAACCAGTGATAGTGACCTTGTCCAGTGTTATTTCAGGCAGACTGGCTGCAAGCTCATTCGGCTCCTGTTGTTGTTCCAGGACAGGATCAGGCATGTTGTACCCATAAAGTGCCAGCAGTTGCTCGAGTGGCATCTCACCACCCTGTGGAAAGGTAAATGAAACAATCCTTTTTTTTTGTAATAAGAAGCAAATTTAATCTATCAATGCATAGCAAGAAGTTGTTCCACTCACTGAATGGGTCTTGGTTGCCATCTTTACCGCCTGCCTCCGCAGGGCCGCCAGGGTCCAGTCCTGCTCCTCTAGGAACGTGGATGCCCGGGAAGGGGCCTCCAGTGGCCCCGCATAGCCCTGGTGGAAAATGTCTACACGACTGTGCCGTTGTTCCTTGGAGCCCATTCGCACAGCTAAAGCACAATGAAAGCAGAGAATTCTCAAAATACATATTTCGTATCAATAATTCAATTATAAGTCAATTACATTGCTAAATGTTGGTTAAATTAAAAAGTAATTGGAAAAATGGATTATAAAAATGTTTTGAGAATAGGTGTTGCATTATTTGTAGGCGGATGCCACTTGGTTTTATATTTTGATTCTCAAGCATTGACATTCAGGCATTTTTAAAAGTTACTTATGTGTCCAAAAAACTTTTGAAGCCACTGTATATACAAAGATATTGTGGAAAAAATTAAATAGGCCAGCCACTGTCAAAAATAATTGTTGGTTTTACTTTAAAAAAGTAACCAACCTGGTTGCCTTCAAATTTTGAGTTCATTGAAATTAAGAATTTGAGTTGATACACAGATTGGTTTAATCAACAGAAACTCAAAATAGTATGTTATCTGAACCACATTAATTGTCTAAGTTGATTTGACAAAAAAACTAAATTTTACCACAAAAAAAAACATATTTTTCACCAAAATGACATTGTTTAAATCATTGTTTCAAACGTAGGTTTGGGAGGAGCCTAAAGATTCAGTCCTGTCCTTCATAATTATGAGCATAAGCAGCAGGCACTGCACCAATTTTTCCAGCATCCCTCCTCCTCCATTTATCTCATAATTCCTCTGCACATTACTGTTATAGGGGGAGTTTAGCTCGGAGCTCGAGCCTCGTTTGAGGACAGCAAGCCAAGTTTGTTTACCATTAACTATTAAGACTGAAGGGGCAGGAGAACTCGTGAATTACTCTTCAAAGACTTTTAGACTATTTCAAGAAATATTTAATAGAAGAATATTCCAATACTAATCGTAGATTTTTTAGAACATAAGCCCTTACAAAAATGTACCATGGTAAACATAGTTTACACCAAAATAGCAGATATTGTTTCTACGGTAGAAATGTGATAAGAAATTGATCAAAATTGCAAAAATAAAGGTTCCAAAAGTGGATTGTCACAGTGATGCCATAGTGTGAAGAACATTTTAATAATCCAAAGAACCTTTTTCCACTATGTACGAAGGAAATGTTCTGTGGATGTTAAAGGTTCTTCGTGGAATTATCAGTGCCAATGAAGAACCTTTGTTTTTAAGACACATGGTTTAGTAACATCTCTTTCCCTCAAATAACAAGCCTCCCTTAGAAAAATGACTTTATACCTCAAATTTTAACTTAATTCTTAATGCTTACCTCATAGACACTTCTAGACTTAGTCTAAAACTCAAAGGAAAGATTTTTAAAGCACCTCAGACATGTTTAAAGTGTCTTTTCCTCATTTTTTCATAACGGTTAAACGCATCTGTATGTGACCTCTTTGAGCTTTGCTGAAGTTAGCAGCGGTTAGTCACTCAGGCGCTTTCCTGTAAGTCAGTGCTGAACATTTGCACCGTGACTCCGAACCGGTGCGAGAAGGAAACAGTTTTAGGGAAGTCGATGAGGCAGTGACAGAATATCTAAAGTTTTGAAAGTTTAGACCTGGCATCCGTCCTGCTCCGCGCGCACCTGGGACACACTTCAGCACCAGCGCTCGCGCAGCTCTCCCGTTGTTTAGTACGGCGCTCGATCTGGCGAATTAAACGCTCGTGAACGCGTACAGACAGAGAGATAGATAGAGTGGCGAAACGGTGAGGAGTGCTCCCATTTTAACTTCCTCCTTATTAGTGACCGTCTATCTTTGCCGTTTTCTGGGTCGGTCGGTCAGACGGCCGGGGTCTTAAGCTGTCTTTTAATGCGCGGCTGGCGGTTAAAGTGTATCGGAGCGGTTTAAACGTTTAATCCTTGTGTTGTTCTTCCCCCAAGCCCCGCAGCTCACTTACCTCCGCCATTCCGATTCTGCGCAAGCGGTGGAATGCCCGGATGTTGTGTAGAACTCCTATTGAACTTACATTCTGACTAACAGCACTGATGATAGTTACTAAACCATGTCAAACTAATCATAGAGGTTCTCTTAAGCGGTGTATATATTTGTGTTGAATAGAAATGGATCCCACCGGTAACATTTGTGAGCAAAATATACTTTAGAGTTCGAAGGGTCTAAAATGATGTATTTTCAAAGTTATCAAATATGATTTAAATTGCAACTGTCTTGAATTCACGTGAGCCTTTTTACATGGCTAATGTACAGTCACATAACCAGATGTTTAATTTCAGTTTGTGCCATGATAGGAGGTTCGTGAAAAAGGTTACAAAACTACTACCATATTTGGTACATGGTATTTAAAGTGTTTATTGTTAATATTTTTCCAACTGTTTTGTCTCATATTAATCATGATCACAATCCATGTAAACATACAATACAGTGGTAGGCTACCGTTTAAAATTTGGGGGTCTGTAAGATGTTTTTGAAAAAGTCTGCATTTATTTATCAACAATACCTTACAGTATAGCTAAATAGGCCTATATTGTGAAATTTCATTAGGCTATAATTTAAAATAACTGGTTCTTTTCAGCATCATTAGGCCTACTTCAGTCTTCAGGCACATGATCCTTCAGAAATCATTCTAATATGCTGATTTGGTGCTATAGAAATATTTCTTATGTTGAAACAGGAGCGCTGCTTAACATTTTTGTGGAACATTTGACTACATTTGTGCTACATTTGTCCTTGATTTTAAGTATAGCTCCAGTTTGAATAAGTAGGCTAACTGATTGTTCTCTTACGAGAGGTTCTCTCGTATTGCGTAAGCTAGCTTACGCTGCGGGAAAGATTCATCTTTGCTGAGAGTTTGAAGCCAAAAAATTATTTCATAATTTGTATCCATTGACAACGCAGTTCCTCTGCGGCAGACCTAGAGCAGGCTAGCTAGCAGCTCATTGGTTCGCTCAGAGAGAACTGCTTAAGCCTATGGGAGAGCGGGGCTGAACCCGCTGCCAATGAGAAGCGCCCGCGCGCTCATTGCATCATGGCCCGCCAGAATGGGCGTGGCTATGGTGTATATAACAGTCTCTCCCAGGCTTATATGTTGATTCATTTCATCTTCAGCAAGCTACACGCTTCTGCTGTCCTGAGAAAAGCCGTCGCCGTCGAGAAGGCATCACTCTAGCGAGCTCCCGGACCCTGAAGAAGCCGGCCGTCTTCGCCACCTTCAGCCGCCCTGCAAGCTAGCGCCATCCGACGACTGTATCCTTCTTTTCTCTATATCTAAAAGAGCCGAGCGTCTTTTTAAAGATGTCTCGTTTTTCCTGCGGCTCTTGCCGCGCTCCTCTCGAGGACGGAGACCGCCATGTCATTTGCGCTCTCTGCCTGGGACTCGAGCACGCAGAACTCGCCCTCGCGGATGGAGGATGCGACTTCTGTGAGAGCCTGCCGTTGTCGTCCCTGCGGGCACGACTTCTGGCGGCAAAATCCGCTCCCGCGCCGCCTCTCTCTTCGCCGCGTAAAAAGAAACGCCGCTCCCAGAGGCCGCCGGAGCCCCCTGCGGAACCATGCGGGCCGCCGCCGCCGCTTCCCGCTTCCCGCTCTCCCTCCCCGCCCCAGCCGGACATACAGTTGCCGCCGAGTGGCCGCTCTGTCGCTTCCGATGACGCCGCGGAGGAGAAGGATTCCTGTTCACTGCTCGCGTCAGACAGTGAGGAATGGTCATCTCTCGGATCCACGAGAGAGTCGGCGGGGATCCGCGCCGGGATAGAGGAGGAACTAATGCGCCTCCTCTCACAGGCCGTCGAACGCCTCGGTCTCGAGTGGTCTCCTCCACCCGAGCAGGCCCCGAACCGGATGGACGGCAGCTTTTTTCATGACGAAGTCCTGGAGCTGACGAAGTCCTGGAATGCCCCGCTCTCGGCTAGAAACCGCTCCGATATATCCGCCTCGCTGCGCTCGGTGGACGGAGCCTCCGAAAAAGGTTATTCAGCCATGCCGCCCGTTGAGGACTTGGTCGCCGCACACCTCTGCCCGCCCTCTGCTAGATGGCGCTCTTCCCCCACGCTTCCTTCGAAAGCTTGCAGAGCGACCTCGAGCTTTCATGCTCGCGCCTACGCCGCCGCCGGTCAGGCCGCCGCAGCGCTGCATTCTATGTCTGTCCTCCAAGTGTTACAGAGCGATATTCTCCGTGAGTGGGCCGAGAGCGGTAGAAACCCCTCCCCCGCTGTCACGGATCTGAGAAGTGCTACGGACCTCGCCCTTCGCGCCACTAAAGCCGCCGCACAAGCTCTGGGGAGATGCATGGCCAGCCTTTGTGTATCCGAGAGACACTTATGGCTCACGCTCGCCGACATGGGAGATTCTGAGCGCGCCGCGTTTCTTAACGCGCCCCTCTCCCCGACGGGCCTTTTTGGATCTGCTGTCACGGGAGTCGTCGATCGCTTTTCCGAGGTCCAGAAAGCCACTCAGGCCATGAATTTGTTTCTGCCCCGCCGCGCTAGCTCTTCCGCAGGCCGCTCTCGCGAGCCTCCTGCCAGAGCTCCACCACAGCGCCCTCCTCCGCAGACTCAAACAGCCCAGCGCAGACAGGGCGGCCGCCCTCGCTCTCGCTCTGACAGCCGCCGCAGACCGCCGCCCCCACGGGGCCCGCGACCCAAGATCACGCTGAAGCCTGATCATCAGAAGTCTGCCTAGCAAAGTTAAGAAAACGACGGCGCTCTCCCGCTGCGGCCGGACCGCCGTCAAAGCTTCGCCCTCTGCCAGTCCCCGTTGTTTCGCCGACTGCTGTAGTGTTGACCGCCACAAACAAGCCGGTGTCCCAGCCCGCTTGCGAGCGACAAAAAGCCGTTTTCACGGCTACCCAGACAAATCTCAAAAAGAGAAAATATGCCAGTTGTGTAGAAAATGTGCCCACAATCATGTGTTCACCCATACACACAAGCATAACATATCCCGTGTCTCTCTCAGAGCCCCATCACATGAAACGGGCACAGCCCGCTCTAATATCAGAGAACATAAACACGCTCACGAGCTCATGCGCGTGTCCCCTCTCTGCTCGCTCTGTTTCACGGCCCATAGACTCCTCTCTGAGTGCAAATCCCGTTGCCACACACATTCAAAGCGCGCCCACACACTGTGTCCAGCCCGCTATGTGCAGCAATCAGGGCGATATTGCCATTCGGCCACTAGCCGCATGCTCCAAAGCGTGGGAAGCCATTCCAGGCATTTCCCCGTGGGTGCTAAGCATTATAAAGAACGGCTATCTGCTACAGTTTCGCCGCCGCCCGCCTCGTGCGCGCGCTCGGCTCGAATCTACTGTCAGCCCGCTGGCCGCCGGCACGCTCCGCTCAGAAATTGCGACACTGTTGCAAAAGGGCGCCATAGAGAGAGTCCCACCATCTATGACCGAGTCGGGGTTTTACGGCCGTTATTTTCTGGTTCCCAAGAAAGACTGGTTCGTCTCTCTAGACCTGAAAGACGCCTATTTTCAGATCCAGATAAATCCCCGTCACACGCCATTCTTACGTTTCGCCTTCGAGGGTCATGTTTATCAATACGCCGTTCTCCCGTTCGGCTTATCCCTGGCGCCCCGTACATTCACGAAGTGCATGGATACGGCGCTCGCCCCCCTGCGGAGCCAGGGGCTGCGCATATTGAATTATCTGGACGACTGGCTGATTTTGGCCCAATCACAGACGGAGCTTCTGTCGCACGGCGCAGTTCTCCTCGACCATCTGAAAACGCTGGGCCTCTCTGTCAACTGGACAAAGAGCTCCCTTCAACCCAGTCAATCGATTTCCTTTCTAGGAATAGATTTGAACTCGGTCACGATGACGGCTCGCCTGTCCACACAGCGCGCGCGCAGTGTTCAGCGACTGGCCGCCTCGTTTCAGATGGGCACCCGCACACCTCTGAAAACTTTTCAGAGGATGCTGGGTTACATGGCCTCAGCCTCCGCTGTGCTTCAGCTGGGCCTTCTGCACATGCGCCCGCTTCAGCTTTGGTTAAACAGCCGTGTACCCCACCGCGCGTGGAACACGGGCCGCCAGCTGATCAGAGTTACGCAGACATGTCTCACGGCGCTGCAGCCATGGACAGTAGCAGAATGGTTTCGGCAGGGCGTCACGATGGGGACCTTTTCCCGCCGAAAAGTCATCTCGACAGATGCATCCAACACGGGTTGGGGTGCAGTCTGCAAGGGCTCACCGGCCTTCGGCCATTGGTCGACACAGTAAAGCCCCTTACACATAAACTGTCTGGAAATGCTTGCGGTCGAGAACGCGCTCTCGCGCTTCCTCCCGCTCATTCGGGGACACCACGTCCTGATCCGTTCGGACAACATGGCTGTGGTCTCCTATCTCAACCGTCAGGGCGGTGTCAGATCCAGGAATCTCTTCCTACTGACACACCGCATTTTAGTTTGGTCTCAGAGCCGCCTGCTCTCGCTCAGAGCGACGCATGTGCCGGGCCATCTGAACGACGGTCCAGACATACTGTCCAGGAACCTCATCTCCTCAGGAGAATGGTCCCTGAACACACAAACGGTCCAAATACTGTGGCGGCTATTCGGCAGAGCAGAAGTGGACCTCTTCGCGTCAGAAGAGAACGCTCACTGCCCAATATTTTTTTCAAGGAGCGAGGACGCGCTAGCCCAGGAATGGCCTCGCCGCCCGCTCTATGCATTCCCTCCGATCGCTCTGCTACCACAGGTAATTCAGAGGATCAGGGACACACGCCACTCGGTGCTCCTCATAGCCCCGCGTTGGGAGAGTCAGAATTGGGTTCCGGAGCTCACTCAGCTGTCACAGACAGCCCCCTGGCCCATCCCAGTCAGAGCAGATCTCCTCTCTCAAGCTCGCGGCACGATCTGGCACCCCCATCCACGGCGCTGGGCGCTACATGCATGGGTGATCAAC